AGTGGTCGCTTTACAAGAGTCTACAGAAGATCAAGAGGTAGAAAATCTTGGCTAGGATCGAGGAAGGAGGTTTCTAATATTTGCTCTCAGGTTATTCTGAATAAAAAACAAAATTTTTCTGAAGGTAACATTAAGCTGGTTGTTTCAGAAAATAGGGGAACTGAACAGGTTGTTGATGTCATTTGCTCTGATAATGATAAGAATATATCTTTGGTTCCTATTTTTTGTAATAATCTTTCTGAGGAACGGTCATCAATTCTTCTTTCTGCTTCAAGGATTTACAGAAGGGAGAGGAGAGTTTTAACTAGGGAAGTTGTGGACCTGGTTAATTTGATTACTGTATTTTCTCCTCAGTTTTCGAAATTGGTGGAGGAAGCAATGACAACTTGGGAAGTTTGTCAGTTGCTAAGCATTTCATTCAAGGAGGGGAAGGAGACTTTCATTGAAAAAATTTTAAGTCTTGAGCATGGCTCGGAGATAGTTAGAGAAGGTTGATTTTTCAGGGAATGTTGTTTTCTCGGGGAAGTTAGGGGAATTATTTTGGTTTGCTATGTTGAAGTTAAAGCTTTCTATTGTGTCATGGAATGTTAGAGGATTGGGTAGAAAAGAGAAGGGGCGGTGTAAAAAGTTGTGTCTACTCGTTGCCCCCAGTTTTTGTGGTTGCAAGAAACCAAACTGGAGAATTTTCAAAAATCTGTTATCAGAAGATGTGGTTTAATCAACTTGCAAGGGTTTATCGAATCCCCTTCAGTTGGTGCTTCAGGGGGTTTACTTAGTTGCTAGAATAACAATATTTTTTAGTTGGAAAATCAGTTTATTTTCAGTAGATTCATTGCTATTACTGGGAGGTTTCGTGCCAATAATTTCATATGTAGATTCATAAATGTCTATGGTCCTTCTGTTGAGGAGGAGAAAGGAGGCTTCTTTGAAGAGTTAGGCTTGTTCATTGGAGGCCATAGTGATCCTATTTGTGTTGAAGGGGACCTTAATGTTTATCTCATGAGGATGAAAAGATGGGTAGAGCTCAAAATAGGAATTCTGTAGAGATTTTTAGTCAATTTCTGCTCTTCACTGGTTTAATTGATCTGCCATTGAATGGTGGTCGGTTTACTTGGTGTAATAACCAAGATTCCCCAACCTATGTTAGACTGGACAGATTTTTGGTTGATAATCAATTTTTGGCTGCATTTCCAGATTTAGTTCAATCTCTATTGCCCAGGTCTATTTCTGACCATAACGCAGTAATTGTTGAAAATTGTGGGGTTGATTGGGGAAAGAAACCTTTCAAACTTTTTAATTATATGATGGATGAAGTTGGTTTCGAGGATTTGGTCAGCTTATCAATTCAAGATTGTAAGAAAAATCAAAGGAATGCTGGAATTTTCAGCATTCTGAAGAATACCAAAATTGCAATAAAAAAATTGGGCAGGTAGGAGAGACAAGTTCCCTGGGGATTTGATTTCAGATCTTGAATTAAAGATTCAGAAGCTAGAAGTGGAAGTTCATCATGGTCTTGGTTCCAATTTTGAGATAGAACATGAGTTGAAGGTGTTAAGATCATAATTGTGGAGGTTGTATAAGATAGAGGAGCAGATTTGGTTCCAAAACTCTAGATCGAAGTGGGTAGAAGATGGTGATAGAAACACAAGATATTTTCATACATGTGCTTCAATTAGGAGGAAAATAAATGCCTTGAATGCTCTTCTTGTCAATGGTAACCTGGTTCAGGACCCGAATGTGATTAAGTGAACAATCAGAGATCACTTTTTCAAGGCTTTCAATGATCAGTTTACTCTATAAGTGGAAGACATAAGGCTGGATTTTTCCAGTATTACTCACGAGCAAAGTTTGAGATTAGAGAAAGAATTCACTGAGGAGGAAATTTGGGAGTCTTTAGAGTCTTGTAATGGGAATAAAGCTCCTGGGCCAGTTGGTCTAAATATGGGATTCTTTAAGAGATTTTGGAATGTGCTTAAGGGAGATGTCATGAAGTTCTTCAATAACTTCTATTTGGGGAAAGAGTGAGAACATAGTATTAATCATACCTTTATTAGTCTTATCCCTAAGGTATCTAATAGTGGTGATCTTGATGACTTCAGACCTATTAGCTTAGTTGGTGGATTATATAAGATTCTCTCTAAGTGTCTTTCGAAGAGGTTGAGGAGTTGTATTTCAGAATTAATCAGCCCTACACAATTCACTTTTATACCATGCCGACAAATATTAGATTGCTCTTTAATTGCCAATGAAGGAATAAACTTTCTGAGGAAAAATGGGCTTAAAGGTTGTGTTTTCAAAGATGATTTCAAAAAAGCTTATGATTCGGTGGATTGGAATATTCTATTTTTAGTTATGGAAAAGATGGGTTTCGGTTCAAGGTGGAGAGGCTGGATCAGAAAATGTGTTGCAACGACTTCAGTTTCTGTTCTTGTTAATGGAGTGCCTACTGAGGAAATTTCTATGGCAAAGGGTCTTAGACAGGGATGTCCTTTATCTCCTTTGTTGTTTAATTTTATTGGTGAACTCCTTAATTTACTGATCTTAAAGGTTGTTTCTCAGGGGCTGTTTTCGGGACTGGTTATTAGGAGGGATAAGGGGTCTTTTAAGCTCTCTCACTTACAGTTTGCGGATGATCTCATTATATTTAGTGGTGCTTCGAAAACGCAAATTCTAAACGTGAAAAGGGTGCTTCGAGTGTTTCAAGTTATTCCGGGTTTACAGCTCAATATGAAGAAATGTAAACTGTTTGGTGTGAATTTGAATGGTGAGGATGTACATGAGTGGGCTCACACTATTGGTTGTTCAGTTGGTAGCTTTCCTTCCGACTATCTAGGGCTTCCTTTGGGGCTACTAGAAATTCTGCTGCTTTTTGGAATCCAGTGATCAGTAATTTTTCCAAAAAGTTAGCAGGATGGAAGGCTGCCTCTCTTTCTTTAGCAGGGAGATTGGTCTTGATTAAGTCGGTTCTATGTTCGCTCCCTATTTATTATTTATCTCTCTTTAAGATATCGGCTTCGGTTCTTAAAACCCTCAATTCCTTGATGTCAAATTTTCTATGGGGAGGGGGAGTAGATAAAAGTAAGATCCACTGGGTTAACTAGTCGAATGTATGCAAATCAAAGATGGAAGGGGTTTGGGTGTGTTGAATCTGAATTTGATGAATAGAGCACTTTTAGAAAAATGGTCTTGGAGGTATGCAAACGAAAGGGGGTCTGTTTGGAGGGATTTTATTTGTTCTAAATATAATCTGGATCCTTCTTTGTTAATGTTTGAAAATAAGACACCAAACAAAGTTTCTTGGTTATGGAGATCAGTGGTTTCTAATCACTTTAAAGTGGACCTTGTTGGCTCTAAGTTGAGAAGTATGTGTTCTGTTTTAGTTGGAGATGGCAAATTTATTCGGTTTTGGCAGGACTGTTGGGCTTTGGATTATCCTCTTATGCTTATATTTCCTAGACTGTTTTCCATTTCCATTAACAAGACGGGCAAATTAGTTGAGTTTGGGGAGTATAGCTCTACTGGATGGATTCGGGAAGTGCACTTTCGTAGGAACTTAAATGACTGGGAGATAGATTAATGGGCTAATCTGATGGCTGTCATCTCATCTTTCGCTCTATCTATGGATAGTTCGGATGGAATGATTAGGAAAGGGTCTGGTGATGGGATGTTCACTATTAAGTCTGTTGTTAAGCTCTATTCATCCAATTCCTTTGGGTTCGGAGGAGGCATACTTTTAGAATAAGATTGTTTGGAGGGGTCAACTGCCACAAAAAATAATCTTTTTTGTGGCAGGTTGTTCTAGGAAGGTTGGCTGTTAAAACAAAACTGGTGAAAAGAGGAATTTCAGGAATTCAAAATCTGTTATGCCCTCTTTGCATGATGGAGGAAAAGTCTCCTTCACATTTTTTTTTCTCTTTTTCGGTGGTGTGGTCTGTATGGAACAAATTCCTCAACTTTTGGAATATTAAGACTGTTTTCCATTCTAATGCTAAAAGTTTTCTCTTGGCTTGGGATGCTTTGAGGACTATTCTATGATCTGGTCTCTCATTCCAGGGGTTGTTATTTGGAGTACTTGGAAATTGAGGAACTCAATTGTATTTGAAGGAGGGAAGTTGGATGAGGTTGAATTCTTCTTTTTAGCAAGATTTACGCTTGCTTCCTGGTTCCTAGCAAAAAATAAAGGGGTGTATATTCTAAAAGACTCTCTTATTTCTGACCCTTCTTTAGGGACTATTGTTCCATCAATTCTAATCTGATTATGTTTACTCTTCCTTGGCATCCTCCTCCTATGGGCTTTGTAAAAATAAATTTTGACGCAGCTACGACTAAGGATTGGAAGATGAGCGGTTTAGGAGGAGTTTTAAAAGATTTCTCGGGAGATACCTTAGGGTCTTTCAAGGAGCCTGTTGGTCCGAGGCCTTCGGCCTATTTGGAGTTAAAAGCTATTCAAAAAGGGCTAATTTTCTTTGCTGATTTTCGAGATAGACTACAGGACCGGTTGATTATTGAAAGTGACAGAAAAATCGCAATGGATTGGATTAAGGGGGTTGATTTATGCCCTGATGTTTATGCTTCTTTGGTTAGAGACATTGTTCATAGGCTTAATGTGTTCGAAGGTGTGGTTAGATGGGTAAATAGGACAGCCAATCTAGAGGCTGATACCTTAGCTAAGGAAGGAATTGGTTGATGTATTGCCGATGTATATGGGGCGCAAGGTTCCTTTGTGTGTACTTGCCTGTGCTTCGTGCATTTCTAGGGATGTATCTTATGTATATTATTGTTTTGTTCAATAAAATCCTAAGGCACTCTTTTCCTCCTTCCGCTGATTAAGGAGTTTATTTTCAAGCTCCTCTAATCAATGAGGTTTTTAACGAGGCCTGAAATTAAAAAAATAAAATAACACGCAGACAGAAGCTATTACAGCAGCTAGAAAGGTGTCAAGATGTAATTCATATTAAGAAAAGGAAAAAATGATAAATGAAGACACAGATCAATATTCCTACCATTAAAAGCACTCTCATTCAAAAATGTTCTAATCTGAGTTCTTTTAGACACTTGGTGAGAGCTCCACCTTAGCAAGTCAGGAGGAGTTTTGTGTGAGAATTGTAAGTTAGTCTCAAACAAAAAGGGTGACTAATATCCACTGGTTAGATTTGCTATTTACTGCCACAGTTAATGATGGCAATCAACAAACCAACTCAACTGCATTCCCCTAAAAGCCGTATAGACAGATGATCACCTATGAGTTTTTAGTTACTTCAATCATCAGTACCTCAATCTCAGCTAGCCAGTATTCGTCTACGCTTGCACAATTTCTTGGAAAGTTGCATTAGTCCACCGCAGTTGTTGACCAAATTTTTTTTCCCTATAACTTCTTTCAGCCTGCACCCGTAACACAAGCCATTGAATGTGTCCTTGCTATCAGACCCTTGCATGTGCTTCTACAACATTAAACCAGAGTAAAATGAAAACTTTTGGATAAAAAAAATTGCATTGCTGAATCCAGAAAGCTAGAAAACCAATGTTAAAATACTAAAATTACAAGCAGATAGATACAAGTACAACTGATTTACAAACCATTAACCTTTGTAATTGGAACCAAATGATTAGTGTACGCAAGCGCGCACACAAACATATGTAACACAGCTAACATTAGCTTAGTAAGATCCAGAAGAAAGTGCTCACATAGCATGGTTGACAATCTCAGAACCATGATAAAAATATTAAAATATCAATGATGAAGAAGGGGCAAATAAATGATGACCTTAAAGATATTTGACGCATTTCCTCCAAAATCAGAAGATTTTCCAGCAAAATCTACAAGAAAGAAAATTACAATCGAGTAATAAATATTGAAGGATACACCGATACGGTTCTTTCTGAGTAATAAGGAAAGCATCATTGGTACCTCTCATCCCCTTATTAATGGTAGGGTCACTAAGGAGTTTCTGTAACATTGTCGTCCCCTGGAAGGCCAAAAAAGGATAGCCCAAGAATTGCAGCCTTTCTGAAAATGGCATTTCCAAGAAACCAAAGGACTTTTCCCATGTTTCTCTAAGCTGAGGTATTGCAGGCAAGACTAACCTCTCAATGCCCATTTTAACAAGCAGCTGCAAATGAAAATATGTGTCCAATTATTAAAAAAAATGAAAGCTTTTTACATGAAATCGAGAGACAAGAGCACAACTGAAGAAACTACCTTCTCCAACTCCTGAAAAAGAATTCGACACATGCCCTGCCGACGATATTGGAAAGGTGTAGCGACTAAAGGCATCTCAGCAACCTTTAGCCCATGTATCCTGAAATATAGAAGAAATGAAGCTTATGATAACCAATTTCAACAACCTCAAAAAAAAAAAAAAACTAAAGGCATCTATGCAACCCTTAGTCCATGTATCCTGAAAACCAAATATAAACGAAAATGAAATTTTTGGAAACCAATTTCCACAACCTTCGGAAAAAGGAAATAAGAAGAGAGCAGGTACCTCACTGTGGCTATTGACAAAATTTCATGACCATTATGGAGAACCATGGCATAAAATCCACGAAAATCCACTCGCTTAAGTTTGGACCTTCACCGGGGAATATGAAAGAAAGAGGATAAATATCAGTGACTAGAAGTTAATTCTAGATCCAGCTCTTACAAATGAAGTAATAAGATTACCTTTCTGCCTAGTTCAAACAGATTTTAACCAAAGGAGGAAAAGAAGCAAATTTTGCTATCCACAGTTTCAGGTATCTAATAATGAACAGAAAGCAACTCAAAGGAGAACTATCTCTTAAAGCAGTTGTATTAACCTAACTCTAGAACCATCAATCTTAATGAGAAGAATTATAACTGAACAGAACACCATATAACAAAACTCTTTTGTTTGAAAAAGGAACCAAGGCCAAGAGAATAACGTCGTGGACAGGTCAACAATGAATGGTAACCAAGGTCTTCAAACCAGCAGATTGACCAGCTGGGAAACATCAACGTAAAATCAGAAAATAACAGAACAGTCATAATCAACTACTCATTATCCCACAAAAGTCCAAACATTAAGTCCAGGAAAAATCCCCATGGAAGCTCATATCAGATTTAAACCATGTTTCTTGGGGTAAAAATTGGATAACTAAAATTTCCAGTCCATTAATGTGAACGTCAAACAGGCCTAGCTCAGGTGATTGACAACCAGAGGTTGAGGCAGAGATCCACTTCAGAGCATAGTGCCCATTTCTTGTGACAATCAATGAACTCGGGCATGCATATCTTGTAGAAAATATTGGTAAATCTAAAATTTGACCTGCAAATAGTAAGGCAACATGCAGCAAACCATGGTGATATACAGAAAAACCAATCATGAAAATGGTATGATAATAACACAAGATTCCCAATGCTCCTCTTCGAAAAGAAGAGGGGAGCCACTGGCTGAGTAAGAGAATGATATAAACTCTCATGTCATTCACCAATGACCTTACATTTTTTTCAAATAAAGAGAAAGGACTTTCAAGTATAAATTTATTTAATCATCTGTAAACTAAATAATTAAAGAAAAAAAATTACCCTGAATTGAAAACAACATCTCTGACCAAATCTCTCTTGGTATGGGGATCCTCAACAGGTTCAAAACACTCGTGGATAACCCCTAGTACATTGGATAGCTCAATCCATGTGTGAGTTCTTGACATATCAGGAAATTTATACACATCTTTCAATGATCTCATCAGCGTCCAGCTTATGCCATCTACCGTAGTGGGATTTGAAATTCCCAAAAGTTGATGAAGTTGAGCACACAACTGAAAAGAGTATATATGTTATCATATAACATAAACATGTTGTAATGTCGAAAAATCTTAATCCAATGTTCTTAAAAAGTAGAGAAACAAACTCAGCAAGGTTAAGACCCTTCAATTCTGGAATACAGAAAGCCAAAATTTTCAAACTCAACTGAATAAACCACATACAGCATGAAAATGAGATAGAGACGGGTATTGGACTCAGGAGGAGGATAAAATTACTCCTAAAAGCTATTAAATCACAACCTTACATGAGCTTAGACACAATAAGGGAATTATACCTTATAACAGGCCTCACTACAAAAACTCCCAGATGGATAGTCTGTAGGAGACATACGCTGAGTTTCACTTAGGCAAGCAACATGATCTACAAAGAAAAAAAAGAAGATTTTATCAAATACTTGGAGATAGAAATCACAAAATTCCCATGAACCAAACTCACATTGGCGATTGCATTGGAGACAAGCTTTTGTAAAATGTTCACCGTCATCCTTGTAATGTCTCAAGCCACATACTCCACAACAGCAAGATGGGCAAAACCACTTTTCACTAGGTACATCCTGAAACAATAGAAACAAATGTCAATTAAAATAAACCATGAACCCTATTTAAATAAGAAAATCAGAAAGTATAGTAAGGGATATAGAAATTCACATTATCAGCCACAAATCCCTTCATGAGATGATGTATCATGTATACACTTTAACTCTAGAAAAATGAACAAATTAAGAAGCCAAACATGAAGAGAACTTATCGGTCATTCATCCTTACTGCTTCAGGAGCCAAGAATCTCTAGAATGGGGGTGGGGGAGGGGGAAGCCTAGTGTGGAGCATCGAATATATGCAACATCACACTGAACCCTATAGCATGTTCTTTGCTAAAAAGGTTGTCTTTTGAGGATATTTTCTTTTAGTTATTTTGGACTGCCATGACTCTTAACTGTTGTTTTGTAAACTGAAAATTTAAATGCTGAAAAACTAACTACAAAATTTATAAGCACTGCATTTGTATCAAGATTGTTTAGTATATCACTAAAAACTGAGCATTGAATATAATTATATTGTTGGAAAGCTATAAAATCTCAAATTTTGAAAATTATTCATTTCACAATTTTAGTCATTACATAATATTTTTTATATTGTTCTGGATTTAAAAAAGCAGGCATTTAAATATCCCGTCTTCTATAACAACTGTCAATGCTTTATCAAACGCATTCCACACCAAGTGATGAGTAGCTCTCACCTACTTGTCACATTCCACAACTTTTTGTTGAAAATTTTCTATCAAGTAAAATTTGATCTTAGTTATCAAAAATATTTTTAAAAATATATATATAGATGCTGAAAAAAAATCCATGCATAAAAAACTGTCAATGCTTTATCAAACGCATCCTTAATTAGCTAGGAGTTCATCTTATCAGGGTTTTATGCTATACAAAGCATTATTATTGATGTAATCAAAGTAGTTTAGGTTTTACTCATGACTATATTCAAGAAGCAACTAATCTTTCCATTCCTTGAGCAACGCCTGCCCTTTTACACTGCCCTCTACCAGCCCCTCTCCCCTTTGGTTCTCTTTCATTCAAGAACCAAAATAAATAAATAAATAGATAACGAGTAGGGAAAATCCTAAATGCCCATAAAACATGACAAAAATGACAATTTTACCTTTAAAATTTTTTAAATGTCAACTGAATTCCAAGGTCTTCACTTTTTCTTATATTGCAAGATACTGTATTTTATAACATTTGCTACACTTAGCATGCATAATTGCAACATTAAGCAATTATCTTGAGTTCTATAAAAAGCTAAGCAGCCATTAGATAACCTCAGTGCATCATAAGGTGATTGAATTAGATTATTAATTTCATTAGGTTAAACTAAGTTTGTCATGCGCAAACCGTCAGTCATTATCTTAATCTTACTAGAGAACCAAAACTAACTTATTCTAACAGCTTCTGTATGCATTAAACAATCCTTAAGAACAAAGGTTAATTAGTTAGTAAGATATCCTACTGCCTCACACCAGAAAAATAAAAACACAAATGTCAACGTGTAACCCCCAAGATTATTTTTACCACTTCTATTAGTTTGTTTTTGGACTTATTTTCCTAGCATGCAATTGGGTTTCTATCCGAAAGCTTTTTTTTCTTCTACCACCCTAATGATATACCTGACCACAAAACTCCACATAACTGCAATAAATCTTTTCAGACCTAAAAGATTCATATTACATCAAAAAACCAAAAAATTAGTATTAATTTAAGTGTATTAAGAAGTGAATTCAAGCATCCATAAGAAAAAATAAAAAATGTATGTACTATTCACTACTAGAAACTGTAAAAAAAAACTTTATAAGCAATAAGGCTGACCATAGAATCACAAGCCATGAAATTAAACAAATTCATGATACATGAATGAGAACAAACCTTGAGGCTAATGCAACTTAAATGATATGAGCATGGGCAGTGACCACAACTTATAAGATCTTCTCCGTAGTGACAGACACTACATATAGTATCACACAGTCGGGAAACACAACGTTGTCGCTTCCTCTTGCTCCTCTGAGAACCAGACACCATGTCGTTAAGACTAGCCTTTTTTCTGCAATTATCAACAGCAGGACTCAAAAAATGATGAGCATCAACTAAATCATCCTCTATGTTTATGACATCTACGCCTTTCTCCTCCTTAGTGTTGGCTTCAACTTTTGAATCAGCTTGCGGGGATGTCTTTGGAAACCTTCTCATCACTGAATTACTTCTATAAACAAGGAAAGGAGCCTTGTTATTCCCCTTCATCACCTTTGATGGATTTTTAACCTTTGAAATGAGTCGCAGGTGACTTTTTGAAACCCTTCTTCTCATTAATGAATGTCTTCTCTTCTTAGGAATAACAGAGAAGAATGCTGGTTGGCTCCCCTGCATTTTGCTAGAGTCAGGAAAACTGACAGCAAGATTACCATCAATCTGCCCATGCTTAGCGAAATTCCCGGAGCCCGATTGATTGTCTTGAACTTCAGAGACAGAAAATGAAATGGTTTTACTTCCTCTCGAGCTGTCAACAGATAGTCTATTACCCTCATTTTCACCAAGTATAGGAGACTTTTGCTTGTCTATTTCACAATCTAGTTTACCAGATTCCATTCTTTGCTTTTCCCCACATGATTTATCTGCCTGAAAACATTTACTAGTAGATGCATTCATAATAGATAGCTCCTCGTGTTTCGATTTTGACATTACAGATTGCTTCCTTCTATTATGCTTACCAAGAGAATCTCTTCCCTCTCCCTTTTGACATGATCTAACATCCTTGAAATCAATGCAACTTTCTGCTTGTGCAGAAGTGTCAGATAAATGGGAATTTGCCTTCCCAGGATCCTCATATTTTTTACTTTTCTTCCGCACCATCCATGCCAAGATTTTGCGATTAGCAAGATTTCGCCGGCTTGACCCAACTGCAATCTCTTGAACAACTTCCATGAAGTACTTCTTCCAAACAGTCCGGACACCACAAGTCCACTCAGATATCATCTTTGCAAACCCATAATTTAAACGTAAGGAGGACCAAACTTTCCTTACAGAGCAAGCCAAGGGAACATCACCTTCAAGCTCCTTTGCTAACTCCACCAATATCCATATACCTCGGTCTCTCCAAATGCCTAGAAACTCATCCCATTCATGAGCTGCACGCAATTGACTCACACTGAATTTGCACTCATCATCCTCATCAGGAAAATACACAGACCGCTCTGATGCATTCTCATCATTATCCAAAATAACCCCTTCCCACCATGCATCTTCAAAAAATGCATCAACACAAACTCCAAAACCCAGGTTTTGATTAGAACGAGGTTGAGATGAGGGAGGAAGAGGTCGTATATGCCCTCGATAGGTTGATGAAACATGGCGACGGCTATGAAGACCTTCAATTGCTTCCGTCACAGGGATGGACTCAATGAGGTTTGAATCACGTGTTTCACATAAGAGTTCATTATATTCAATAGATCGGAATAAATGTGAAACGCCAACTACCACCCCAGGGTGCCATGATCCCCGCAGCCCTTCCTCAAACTGGCGGACCTGAAAACAGTCCACAATGAAACTTGTATCAGTACAGCAGGAAATCAAATAAATGCAACATTGTGACAAAAAGAATGTAACAATTATTTCAATATGTTAACATTTACAGATAGTCTGTTGTTTAACATAGGGGGAAGACTGCTTACATCAGGACTTTCTCCATGTCCTGCTTATATTGGGAGCTTGGGTACAGGACAGCCTTCTCTTTCAAAAGAAAAGTTCCGTAAGAAAAGAATTCAGCTTGAAAAGTGTGAAGAACTTGCATGACCCAGCTAACAAGAAGTTCAATTTAAATTTGAGTTTTGGAAATCACTTGCATTCAAAGTAAGTAAATACTTTCGTCAAGTCATTAACCAACTGATTTTATAATTTTTATTTATAGAGAGAAATATTATTCATGTTTACGAATCAGTATCATACCCAAAAGGAAATAAATGCCATTAAAATATTTTTCTAACAAGAGAAATACAAATAATTTTGGAATTACTAATTTTCCAGATAAAATACGCTCCGGCATGATTACTTAGAAAATGCGGGAAAACCAATTTCAAATTTGAAACCTTAATTGCTTTAAAAATCAAATGAAAGCAATGAAAGAAGATACTTTGGATATTCGATCAAGGGATTAGCTTAAAGACATGTAATTTTTCAATATTCCGCTAAGAAAACATTTTTTTCTAAAAGAGACAACAGTTAGGTCTCCTGTTTGGCTGACGGGAAAATGCAGGATGAATAGAAAGAAATTGCCAACTCATTGGTGGATCACAAATTTTAGAAATAAAATAAAATAAAACTAATCTCAACTTTGAACCAAATTTCTCACGATTTTGTTCACTAAACCAAACAGAATAATAAGAAGAAAACAACAGCAGCAATAACAACAACAAAAATTAAAGAAAAACTAAAAAGAAGTAACACTACCTCGACTCTCTCATTGAGAAGAAGCTTGCGATTGTTCATGAATTCAAATCTTTTTCTTTCGCTCTTTTCTTTTTGGAGAGAGACAAGCTAAACTGGATCTTCCTTTAATGGAAAGAAAATATGGATTTTATTTTTTAGTATATTTTACCGGTAGTTAGGGCGGTAGAAAGGAAATATTCTGATGCTACCAATTGTATATTTTAATCTTCCGAGTCAGTAGATCTGACTAAAGATAGTTGTTTTTAAATGCGTTTGATGGGCCCGTTCAATCAAGACCGTGTATTCCAACCTAATATTCAGTTGACGGTCCATAAGCTTTGCCGCAAAATATGGTAATTGTATGGCCTTCAGTCTATTTTCTACGACGGTCCTTTTTTTTAAATAATAACAAAAATTAAATGGGAATGTAATAAACTCTTCTATATTTAAAAAAGCGTACATTATTATTTATTTATTTCGGCAAATTTAACCGAATAATGTTGGCGCCAAAAAATTTAGGGTATTAGGATTGTATGAAAATTAATTTTGGACCTACGGTTAATATTGTACTATTTACGCAATTCGTTATTTTTTTGACGAATTTTATTTAAATTATTTTTAAATTATAATTCATTTTATTGATATAACATGTACAATTATAGGAATTACACCTTTAACATGTCCTCTTTAACGTCTGTCCGATTAGAATTTGTTATGTTCATTTGACTAATATTATGAGATATAATTATTTTTTTAATTATAATTTATTTTTTTGGTATAACATGAAGAATTATGGGAATTACACCTTTAACATGTTCTCCCCTTTAGCGTCAGTCCCGTTTAGAATTAGTATTTGTTTTTTATGTTTAAATATATTTAATATTATAATATTATTTTACAGACTTAATATGACATCAAGAAAAAAATGTTCCATCTAGATGATGATTATATTTCATCTTATTCGATTGAACCCGTAGTACTATTTTGTTTGTAATTTTTATGTTTAAACATTTTTATTTGGTTTAATTTAAATAACATTATGTTAATTTGTATAATTTAAAAATATTTTATTAATTTTAAGTGTAGGAATGTGAATGACCTTTCCACTATTGAGGGATGAAAAGTAGGGAGTCAAACTTGATCATTTTATATTTATAACAATCAAGTTTATGTAATGCCACATTTATGTGTGGTTATATATTGATTCATGCTGTAATTTCAATGTTCTTCTAATGTTGGAGACTCAAAATTCTTATGTTCAATATTTTTATGAAAAAATAATGATAACTCTCGAAGATGTGATTATACAACTTGGTGTCACGATGGTAATAGGACACAAACAACTACGACTTAGAATAAATTTGTGGAGCGTAACTTAGGGAAGATATGTTAAAAAAAATAGATTGTGGATCATAATGAATTGTGAAGATATCTTATATGCAGCCCGAACTTATATTTTTCAATTGATCGGAGGATATTGATGTCGTACACTGTACACTAATATAGTTCTCCAGTACCTTCCTTTCTTGGAGATTTTTATGAATATTAGTCATTATAATTGGGGATCTGTAATTTTAGTCTTCTTATATTGAGAATTTTGCAATGTAACATTGCTGAAAAGCGGGAACAAAACAGATATTGGTGGTTGTCTTATCCTTTTACAGTCGTAGGATTGATATTGAACTCTCTGATTTACACTAATTTCTCGATTTCTAATTAAAATTTTTTGTTGCAAGGTCATATTTCGATTTACTTTCTTGAAATAATTTTTGTTATAATTAATTTGATAAATATATATGTTACTATGGGAGAAAAAATCTAGTTACACTTAAAAATAAAAGTGAATAGTTACTGTTTAACAACTCAATAAATCAAGTTACAGTTAAAAATAAAATGTGAAAAAATAGGAATTATTTAGTAAAATTTATAACTCGAAATAAAATTTAATTATTAAATTATTTACAAGATGGAAAAATAAAACAAATTAATTAATTAAATACTTGTAAAAAAATTCATGGAAATGCAATCATATTCCATGAAGAATTAATAGTACGACACTGGCTGAAAACTTAAATGAAAAGCTTATAGGTTAAATGAAATGCGATCCAAATCTAAAGGCCTACTTAACGTCATACAAGCTGTAAGAGCTAACGTAGAGAACTAACCACCATGATTTTTCAGCTAGTTACTGAAACAAAAAACAGTACCTGGCAGTGTATAAACGTGGCAATCGTCACCAGATGAACGAAAAGCATGCCTAAGCAATGGCATACGTGATCGTCTCCACCTCTTTCGGTCGCCACATGGATTTCTGGACACACAACAATCCCTGCTTGTCCTTGGAGAAAGTTGTGAGGACTTTCCACTGCATAGATCTTAACATGCTCTCAAGCTCATTAATGGTCTCAACATCGTCCCGGACAATAAATATCCCTTCCGGCCTTAGTATTCGATCAACCTCAGCAACCATGGACAATATATTGCACCTAAAAGCCCGTAAACCATCGCAAAGTTAGGCCGAAGCAAGACAAGGATTAGCATGTTATGGCAAATGTCACTTTAGGACAACTTTTATTCGTACCTCTTTTTAACCTTGCAGAATAGATGGTCAGCGTGGAGAAGATCATATGACCTCGGATAAGTGCTAAACGATTCACACCAATTATGATACATGCCAAATAGACCTCTCTCGTATATTATAGGAAGGGTATCTGGAGAGCGAATTGGGACAACATTCATGACCCACAAATCCAAATCTTTGAGTGCCGCAGCAAATCTATGACCATGTCATAGTCAGAATCAAGGAAAAGAAGACGAAAAAACAATAAAATAAACCGGAAATGTAACCTGCCAAACCATTATATCGTTCCTACTTCATAGGATTTTTTTGTCTTCTTACCCTCCATAAACAGCTTTCATGTCCATGACATTTCTAATAGATAACCAGTTTATTCCCATCTTCCTGTACGACTGGACCACTCGTTTCCAGTGTTCAGAGTCAGACGCAAAATCCTCAGGTGCTGCTTTGCCGTAAACTCCAACATGGGAACTCAACAACCAATAAGGTGATTTTTCCAACCTTGCTGGCCATGGCTCAGGCCACTTAGACCCACGTTCCGATGCATCTACAGGCACTTTGTGCATGCATGTTTTCAGTGACACATTCCTATATTTAAGAATCAATTTCAACAGGCCGTTTGGGTAGATATATTGCAAGAGATGCATATCTATACTATTAATATTCCTACTCCTTAAGGAACAAAAAAAAAAATCAGAACTTAAAAAAAATTGGAACTTTTAGTGGATCTTTCTATGTCATCTGAACAAGAGGTGTTAGATTGTTTTTAGCCAGAGTTTTACTTTTATAGCAAAGTTCAAACGAAATATTACCAGGCTGCATTTGGATCATCAGAGTCGGGACAGAGTGGAGGCTCTTGTTTTGGCCTTCTATTATAGCAATCGTTAGAAGAAGGCTTCTTAAATATTGCTACCGCTACCCTATTTATTGGATCCTTCCTAGTTTTGTTTACAAGCTTCCAGCACATAGCTTCTGTTAGTTCAACCATTGCTGAAGAAAATACACACAAATAGCAGCAGGTTTCAGACACAATATACTTCTCACAAAATACTCATAGATATTATAACTGGATCATGTACCTTTCCAGATTTCAACATCTTCACGAACTTTCTGATAAACAGGAGTTGTGGACCACACAAAGAAACCACCAGGTCGCAGCAAACGGTTGAGCTCCAAGAGGAGTTTGCCACCTGCATATTGTTAAGACTGATGAGTATTCAAGCATAGAAAATTCATAAAAGGCAGTTCTAGCAACTGATTCCTATAGTCCGATACGATTCATAATTTTAAAAAATAGCAAATGTGGTTTTTATACCTTCTATGTGCCATGGCACTCTACATCTTGCACAATGAACAATATCAAATACTCTGCCAGGGTAGGGAAGTTTCTTAGTACCCATCACAGCAGACACAGCAGGAATTCCCCTTTCAAGTGCAAATTGCACTTGAGCTTCATGTTCATCTTTAGGTGCAAGTGACATAGCAAGCACATTTCTGTCAAAAAGAAAACCTCCAAAGCTGGCAACTCCACATCCAACATCTAATATCACACGAGAGCGTTTTCCCCAGGCGATTTCGGGCGCAGACTGCAGAATAATAATCAAACATCGAGCACAAGTTGAAAGAACAAATTGCAGGAGAGGAAAAGACAGACCCTGAATTAAAGTCATACCGCTTGTTTCCCTCATTGTTTAAATGCCATAGATTCATTTTAAATGACATAGATGGTAAACACGCATTTTTTTTAAATCATATCAAATATTTGAAAATAGATTCATGCAATCGAAAGACTAGAGCTGTAAATGAGCCAAACCTACAAAAATGGTGCTTTCCATGATCATTCATGAAAATTAAATGAACGTGTTTATGAACATAAAATGAAGATGTCCGCAAACAACTCAAAACTTGTTCAACAAGTAGAGAACACACGAAGGGAGTGAGACAGTAATGAACGATATGATAAAATAAAGAAGTTTGAAGACAATAGATTCATTTTGGGCACTCACCTCTTCTATGAAGTCAATATAGAGAAGAGCACCATGCTTAAACTGGGTTCCACCACCGGGAAATGTGAGGTACTCCCCAGTTACTTTAACCCAGTTCTGATGACCCTTAATTTCTGCCAACTGAGTATGGGGAATGTTACAATACCAGATCTGCAACAGCAGGAACATGTTTGCTATTTCATCACGTCAAGCACAAAATTAAAGCAAAAAAGTGAACCAGAATATGTGAAGTAAAAGTACCTTCTCTCTGCTTTTGGGCCACGTAATTGAGCGTTTATATCCTTGAGGAAGAGGAACAAGGCAGGTAGGTGGTTCTTCTGGGCAATGCCTCTCTCGATGCTCATAATGTTTGTTGGTACGGAGATGCCTGATTGCTTCCCAATTGTCAAGACATGGGATATAATCAGGCCCAGCAGTAGAATTGCAAAGCTTCCAACTGTATTCCTTGGATGCTAACCGAGTCTTCTTTTCATTTGTTGATACTGCCACCTGAGTAGAGAATGATCCATTCTGAATATTGGTTTCACTCAAAAGTTCAGACTGAGCAACAGAGGAGGAAACTTCATTTAAGCTCTGGTTTTCCACTTGAGGATTATCTTTTGCCTCATCAGAGCTTTGATCCAACTTTTTATCATTTTTATCAACCTTACCCTCTATCTGACCATCCACCTTAGTTCCATTGGTTCCAGAGGAATTTTCAACTGGTTTCTTTTCGGTGCCAACAGAATCAGATTCGTTGCTGTTCTTTTCATTGACAGCTTTCTTGTTGCTCTCTTTTGAATCAGACTTTTTGTCATCAGGATTCGCTTCAGAATCTCCTAGTCCACCCAAATTCTTACCACTATTGTTGTTTGTCAGTCCACCTTCAGAATACTTTTTGTTAGACTCGTTTTTGCCATTTTGTTCAATCTTTCCCTCTATCTGACCATCCCCCTTACCTCCAGTAGTTTCAGATGATTTTTTATCTGGTTTCTTTTCACCACTACCAGAATCAGACGTCTTATCATTCTCATTGGAGACAGCTTTCTTGTTGCTCTCTCCCGGATCAGATTTTTTGTCAACAGAATTCTCTTCAGAACCCCCTAATGCACTCAATTTTTCACTATTGTCGTTTATCTGTCCACCTTCAGTATCCAACTGCTTCTCATCCTTCTTAGACTCGTCCAATTTACTCTCTTCAGTGATCTTGTTTTCTTGTGTATTTAAGTTGCCAGTGCCATCATCTTTAGCTAGACTCACATTTGAGTCCCCTTTCCTGTCTTCCTTGGATAAATTCTCGCCACTGTTGTTTGTCTGTCCACCTTCAGAATCCAATTGCTTCTTATCTTTCTTGGACTCATCCGACTTACTCCCTTCAGTGTTCCCCTTGTTTTCTTGTGTGTTTGAGTTGTCAGTGCCACCATCTTTAGTCACACTCACGTTCGAATCCCCTATCCTTGCATCCTTGAGTAAATTCTCATCACCATTGTTGTTTGTCTGTCCACCTTCAGAATCCAATTGCTTCTTATCTTTCTTGGACTCATCCGACTTACTCTCTTCAGTGTTTCCCTTGTTTTCTTGTGTGAAGTTGCCAGTGCCACCATCTTTAGCCCTATTCACATTTGAGTCCCCTATCCTCTCGGCTAAATTCTCACCATCACTGTTGTTTGTCTGTCCAGCTTCAGAATCCAATTGCTTCTTATCCTTCTTGGACTCAACCAACTGACTGTCTTCAGTATTCCCCCTGTTTTCTTGCGTACTTAAGTTGCCAGTGCCCTTGCCATCATCTTTAGCCCGACTCACATTTGAATCCCCTTTCCTGGCATCCTCAGGTAAATCCCCGGGGTTATCTTCGAATTGAACGTTGTTGCTCTTGTCATTGCTATTATCGATTACCGGTGTAACCTGATCATCGAGTTGGTTTTTCTTTTCGTTGCTCCTGTCATTGCTATTATCAATTACCGGTGTAACCTGATCATCGAGTTGGTTTTTCTTTTCGTGAGCCACATCATACTCGTTCTGATCGGGGATAACCGAGGACGAAGTCATCATCCAAATTCCAACTAAACATAATCCCACGAAAACCACAATGGTGACAGTGGAACCATAACTAGAAGACGATGACCTCCTATTATCTACTCTACCATATCTTCCTAATGCCATGATCACTATTCCCTTCTTTTACTAATCAAATCATCAAAATTTCACACCTGAAATTGAAAAGAAAAAAGAAACTAAATCCGAACTACACTTAAATACGTATAAGCTAATGCATATCAAATGAGATCCAAAATTGCTTTTAAAAATTCTAAAAAATAGTTGAATAAAATGCTTTATTATTCTTTTATTACTACTATTCATATGCACGTGTTTACAGTTGCATTCATCCAATTATTAATGGAGCAATAATAATAAATCAGCCGCATTAAGTTGTATTCTTCATTTGATCCTTCAAATTTTATCTTCTATCATTTCTTATATCAATAAACCATATATTTCTTCCTATATTATATATCATGCAATAGAAACACTAAGAGATATATATATATAAACAGAGTAAAGAAGCATATAATCGAGAATTTCAAAATTGTAGTTCGGAACAACGAGATCTAGTGAAACAGTGCCAATTAAAAAAGAAAGTACAGAAAACGCCGTCGGCATTGCATTAGATAGGTAACAAACAGAGAAATCTGTGAGGAAAACAGGAAAAGAAAAAAAGAATATACCTGAAAACAGAAAAGAAAATGAACCGGTCTGATAAGAGAAGAAAATTCCAGCTTTTAGCAGTTACCGGAAATTTAAAAGGAATTGTTCATGAGTTTTGTTCGTATGTTTGATTAATGCAGGGGTCTTAAAACTTCCTGAAAATGGTAATATAAAAAGGAAATGAGAGGGAAAGGACTCGTATAGAAAACAACAGGGAGCAACTACGGGAAGGGAAAGGCCGCGAAATCAGCGAGAGTAGTTTTATGTTTTATTTAAGTAAATTATACTATTAGTCACTTTACTTTTAATTGTGTATTAATTTTGTCATTACATTTTAAAACATTTTAATTTTAACACTAAATTTTACTTTATATTATAATTAGATCACTGGACTGCTAAATTTAAAACAGAACGATGACACGGATGATCATTTTTGTTATTATGATGATATAGAGGTTGAAATATATTATTTAAATCAATTATAAAGTACACAATTGATCCTCCGATTATAGAGTATTACTTTGTTGAGTCACCTATTATTAAAAGTTACAAGATGGCCCTTCAACTATAGGGTGTTACTTTGTGGGGTCATCAACTATTAAAAGCTACAAGATGGTCCTTCGACTATTAAGTGTTACATTATAACGTCGAGCTAGTGCTTTGAACATTATGTTATCGAGCCAGTACTTGAAATCAATAGTGGTGCCAACGCTTGAAAGCAAAGACGTTACCGACAAACATCATTAAATATATGATTTTATCATTACCCAGTCAATTGAGAAATTTTATCTGAACAATTCAAATCGAATTGAAGGCGATCGAAGACCAATTTAAAGTTGTCCATATGTCAATGAACATTAATAGCACAAGGAAAAATAAATTGTGAAACTTTACAAAGCTGTTGAGAAATTTTGACCGTAAATGATGGATTGGGGTTTTAAGCCACTACTTAATTGGATTCAATGACCATGCAAGTTCATTATGGAATTTAAAGTCGAAATTCAAGTTCAAATTAAAACCTATTTTTTTAAGATTAAAAGCCCAAATTAAATATCAAAGTCCATTTACATACCCAAAAATACCTCAAAATCAACGTCTTTTTTACAAGACCAATCATAATACCCAAACCTTTACCCATTTATATACCCAAGTACACAAATCCAAACCAGGTTGAAGTCCAGCAAAGAAAACCAGCAATAGAGACCCTCGGATAAGCCACCAACAATGACCACGTTAACGAGAGAGGACACGCGGCAGTTCCCTATTCGCGTGACCACGTTATTTGTGTTCACACCAAGAAGCCCACTCTCGAAGCAAAAGGATTGAGGTTGCCTCCAGTCGAAGAAAAGAATCAAAGCTTAGGAAGCAAGGCATCCCCATCAGTCTTTAAGAGGACTTGCAAAAATTAAAACAGAGATGGGGGAGCATTATCATCACACACCAAAAAAAAAAGCAAGCAACATTCGAATAAAAAAGAGAGAGATTTCATGTAAAAGAAAAACAAGGAGAGAGCCCATAAGGAAACCAAGAGGTTTTCTTGGAAGGAAACGAAGAGATTTCGTGAATTGGAATATTAGGTGACCGAAGTACACATTGATAATAATTGAATCAGAGACGAAGAAATTTTTGGAGATTTTTAAATCTGGAAACGAAGAGCAGAAAAACAGATTGCAAAAGAGAAAATTGAAGTATTTCCTCCATCGATGGTAGACGTGCATATGGAAAAACACACTTCTGAGTCAGATCTAAAACAATGAGGAACACAACATACATATTGACGACGACAGAACCATGACAGAACCATATGAGAACCCTAAATCAAAATGGTAAGAAAAAAATATATAGAAATTAATTGAGTCACTTTCGTAGTAAAACAGAATGTTGCCCCCCTATAGGACTCGAATTAAAGTAATTGTGTCTACATGAATTGGATATATTGTCATAGACTAATTTTTTTTAAACAAATATTATATTGTAATCACTTCAAATTATTTAAAAAAATAGAAAAATATTATACATGTAAAGGATTCACAACCGTCAAAATCAAAATGATAAAGAAAAAGAACTTAGTAATGGAGAATGACGAAGAAAACAAGAGTTAGTGAGAGAGAAAGTCTACCAGCTAACATCAAGATCACCAACAAAGAGCCATCATAGCTCTAATATAATGTGAGAATTCCAGTATGATGCAATAACGATGACTGATTATGTGATCAAAAGAAGATGAAAGTGAAAAGAGGGGCTAGAAGCTTTAGAGTTTTGATTTTTGTTGTATTGAAAGAAACTGAATTTAAAGTACATTATCTCAAATAAAATTACAATGGGTCAAAAGATATTCCATAGCTCAAATGTAACAACCCAAACAGACTCTAACTGATTCTAATGGCCCAACTTTTACTATTCTCTAACAAATATGAAGCAATGGTGAATAAGGATTACAAGTAGGGATATCAATGAACCAATGGTGACTAAGGATCACTCAACTTTAACAACGGATAATGAGGGAAGCAACAAAACAGTTAGTCTGAAGCAGTTTAAGAGAGCAACTCTAAGGATGAAGCTTGGATTTCTCGTCCAGGGATGCTCTAACTGCATTCAACACTAATGGCATCAACTTGTGATTCGAAACGATGATTCCAGTATCGAGATCGAGATACTTTCCCCTCGAGAAATCCAATGGGTTCCCCGCAGCATCCGTGACCACTCCCCCAGCTTCTGCAAACGATTAATGGCAAATGGATGTCATCATAAAGCAGTAAACAAGGATTGGCTGCAGGTCAAATATTAACATTTTCATACCAGTTACAACAATGGACCCAGCTGCATGATCCCATATTTTCTCTCGATATCCATTTCGAGGAAAACGTAGATATATGGGCTCCATCTCCCCTGGAAAGTGCCCCATACTTTACTTGGCTATCCATTCTAACTGGTGCTGCTTTCACCCCAAGTTTCTGTTTTGATCTCAATCTTTTCACTACCATGGCCAAATACAAAACCGAATATGCATATCTGAAGAGTGAAACATGGAGAGAGTACCTGGGCAATTAAACTGGATAGATCATGCATGGAATGTGCCGCTTCATACGACTCGAAAAATGATGCTTCTTCAGGATTTTCAACACCACTTACTTGCACCTGAATACCATATAAATATATCGGATCAATAGCGGGTTTAACTATCTGGATCTGCAATTTAAATCCCAGATTATGATAAATCGTTTATGACCTTGACCGTTGAAGAACCGTCAAGTGGCTGCATGTAAGTTCCTCCACCAACTTCAGCAAAGAAAAGGCAACCAGCTTCATTACTCCGACGACATGGATCGTCAACACCGGTGGAAGTTAATGGAAGATTTGGACAAGCCAGCACACCTAAGACGACCTTTCCTCTGTCTAGCAAAGCCAACGCCACTGCATATTGATCTCCTCTTACAAATCTAATGTCAAATACCAGAAAAAATATACTAGTTCATCAACAAATATGTCTAATACGAATTATGTTCGATTTAAAGATGAATATAAGTCGAAGAAACATAAATGTCAGATACTAAGTTATGAAGCTGACTCACCCTTTAGTACCATCTACAGGATCCAAAACCCAGTGTCGACCTTGGGAACCACCTTCAGATTTGCCACTGTCAATGATTCTAAGAACATCGTCTGGAGATAAGGTAACATTGTATGATCCATCTCTGGTTAGAGATTCATTCACAAGTTCCGTAATTCGCTCCACCATTTCCCCTGCACCGTCTTTCCTAAGATCGTTCGAATCCTAAACATAATCAAACATCATTTAGAAGGAAAAAAAAAAATTCTATGGTTTAAGGTGAAAAAAGAGCATGGCTTATGAAGGCTCCTAAACACCTCTAGATGAAAATGAACGAGGCAATCTCTAACTTCGTCTTGTTCCATTACCATCCCTAACTGCAACCATTTTTCAAAAGAGCATAGAATTTTACCTCTTCGGCCACTAATGAGAATTCACCAGGAAATTCCTGCTGCAGCACAAAACTGACTAGTGCTTGTGAGCCTGACGAAAGTTTTAAAATTTATAATCAAGGTTAAAACATAAGGGTTAAAACATGCTGAGGTCAATAATATATAATTGTCAGATATTTATGTTAAAACCCTAGTTTTTCTCTTTTTTCTTAATCGTTGTTAATCTTTTTTTTCTTTATCTTTGTGATCGACGACGACATCAGTCTTGGTGCTGGTCTCCGGTCGCTGGTATTCATTATTTTTCTTTTACTTTATTATATCATATTTTTATTTTTTTAATAATTATATCTTTATGACATGTTTTCTTCTGTTTTTATGCATGTTTTTAGTCATTTGGCTGTAATTTTCATTTATCCTTTTTTCTCATTGTTGAATTTGATATCGCCACGACTGATCAAGATGAAGCTTATTTGTTATTATGATGATCTTCTCTGCTTTGGACCATCGGATTGGATTTGGATACACTATTTGAATTCGTTGATAGTTTTTTCACGTTGATTGACTATGATTTATGATTTAT